TATCCTCCTGAGAGATCTCAATGAAACTTTCATGGAGGTACTCTGTGATCGTCTCCCAAAGGTTTCTAGGGATGGCTGCCTAATTTCTTCCTCCGCAGAGGGACACTTTCTCAGGCCACTCCCTGATGACTTCGGTGGCATCATTACAATAAACAGTCTAGCGGCATATGGGCTGGGGCAGCTTTGGGATACCAGCAGCAGCTGTGCTCTCTGTGCTGTTGTCACCCTCAGGAGCTAAAATCACCACAGCCTGTGGAAAATGATGCCAGTATTCAGTGCCATTCCCTGTACTCGTACCCATGGAAATAGGGGCTGAAAATGGTATTGTTTTATCCATAAATCCCTCCGCATTTACTGCCCCCTCGTTGTCCCTGGTGGTGCTGTGCAGCGGTGCTCCCATGCTGAAGTGTCAATAAGTGTGTCTTATTTAAAGTGAATAAGGGAAGGGAGTTCTGAAATTTATTTTCTCTTTCGCTTACTGTTGTGACTGTAAATACAATAATACACCTGTCTGTTTTATCTGTAGCTGCTGCCGTTGTGGCTTTGAGGGGTGCCCCCCTCCACACCCATGGCATGCCTGACCCTAATGAAGAGGAGAAAGAAGCAGACTAGCAAGAATGTGTTCACCGAAATCCTGCAAGCCAGTGTTGCATTGGACTGTGAACAGAGGGCGTGGAGTACAGCAGACAGCCTGGACAAAGACGGATTGGCCAGGAGAAAGGCCCAGGAGTCCCAGCAGAACAAGGAGAGAGAGATGCAGCAGGACATAATGGGGCTTCTCAGGGAGCAATTCCAGATGCTGCAGACTCATGTTGATCTACAGGTCCAACAGAGCTCACTTCCCTTTGCGGTCAATGGAGAACTCCATTTCAGCAGCTCCCCACTCCCCTCAACATTCTACATGGCATCAGGGGCTACAGCCCTACCCCTAACACTCCACACCGGGGGACAGTAAAGAAAACCTCCGCTTCGCTACACCAACCATGGCTCTCACAGGCCAGGTATGTTGGGCAGCATGGATTGAAATGGATACGAAAGTTTTGTACTGTTCTAATTGTAGAGTTCTGTGAATTTATTTTATAAGTTTGTTTTTTAATTGCACATTATTTTTTGCATTGTTTTGGATATGCAATACATTTTTATTTTTTTGAAATAAATTAATCTTTATTACTTCATAACATACTGCAGAATGCCTAGTGCTATTCAAAGCACCCTCTACTTGTAATTGTACAGGTCCACAGAACTCATACGTTGAGTATCAAACACAGTGTAACAATTATAAATGTACAGGGAGCACCTCATAATTCATAGGTTCACTAAAAGACAGAGTGATATTCATAAATGTACAGCAAGCACTACACAATTCCTAGCAACACCCAACGCCCTTCAGGGCCAGGTAGAGCACAGTCCAGCATGGCACATTACTGTGCGGACCACTAAAGTGCTCTTCCAAGGCCTCACTCAGTCGCTACTTCTACGTGGAACTCTTCCAATGGCCCTTTGATCTGTTCAAAGCCAGCAGACAGCTGCTCCACCTCCACCCTGGCAGCAACCTTTCACCCTTTGCCTCACAGATATTATGCAGGACACAAGAGGCAGCTATAACCAGGGCCATCCTTACCCATATGCAAACTACGCAGCTGCGTAGGGCACCAGGAAATTTGGGGCAGCTGCATGCTGCTCCAGCGGCCAGCCCGATCCTCCAGGTGGCTGAGCCGACCAGGAAAGCTGCCCCCGCTCCTGCCCCGCCCCCACTCCACCTCTTCCCCAGCGCCCCCGCACCTGCTCCGCCCCCGCCCTGCTTCGTCCCGCCCCGTCCCGTCCCCACTCCACCCCACCCCTTCCCCGCTCCAGCCCCCACCTCACCTCACCCCTTTCCCAAAGCCCCTGCTCCACCCCAGCCCCACCTCTTCCCACCCCTGCTCCACCCCAGCCCCGCCCCCACTCCACCCCTTCCCCTGAGCTACATCCCGGGGTACCGCAGCAGGGGTCAGGCATGCCCTGCACTCACCAGGTGGCGGGAAGTGGAGCAACCTGGCCCCAGCCCGCTCTGCTCCACTGGCTCCCAACTGCGCCGCCAGTGAGTGCTGGGGGGGTGGTTCCCCTCTGACCCCCAAGTCCCAAGGCTGGGAGCCAGGGGAACAGAGTGGAGTGGGCTGGGTCTGGGTCACTCCACTTCCCACCGCCTGGTGAGTGCGGGTCGGGCCCGCCCTGCAATCACTGGGTGGCAGGAAGTGAAGTGACCCGGCCCCAACCTGCTCTGCCGGCTCGTGCTGGGGGGCAGTTTCCCCCCTGCCCTCCAAGCCCTAAGCCTGCTCCTGTCCCCCACAGACCTTGGGCACAGCCCCCCACACTGCAGAGGCCTCGGGACCCCCCCGCATCCCCTCCCCTTGTGGGAGGGGCTGCGTAGGGCACCACAATGTCTAGGGATGGCCCTGGCTATAACCATTGGGATATTTTTCTCACTGAGATCTAATCTAGTGAGTAAATGGTGCCAGCATCCCTTCAATCTCCCCAAAGCAGATTCAATTGTCATTCTGCCCCTGTGAAGCCGCTAGTTGAATCCTTGAGTTGTCAAGGTAGCCAGTGTACTGTTTTATGAGTCAAGAGAGCAAGTAGCTTGGGTCCCTCAGGATCACTACCAGCATTTCAGTATCACCAAAGGTAATCCGCCAGTCAGAAAAAATTGTCCCCACTTGCAGTTTCCTGAAAAGACTTATGTTCTTAAAGCTATGAGCGTCATGCACCTTCCTTGACCAGACAACGTTGATACCAGTGAAGCATCCCTGGTGTGCTCCACCCACAGTTGCATAACCATGGAAAAGTAGCTCTTTGTGCTGATTTACCCTCTGACAAGGTGGGCTGGTGCCAAAATAGGGACGTGCAGATCATTTATCGCTTTACTGCAGTTTGGAAACCACTTAGCCGCAAATCCATCGACATTGTCCTGCACATTGCAGAGAGTCACAGTCCTGTATAGTAAGATGCAACTGTGCAAGGCCATGAATTGTATGACAATGGCCCCCCACAATGGCTTTTCCAACACCAAAATGATTTTCCAATGACTGGCAGCAATGCGGCGCTGGAAGCCACCACTGTGTGATCACCGCTCACTTCTCCGCTGTGAGCGCAGCTCTCGTTCTGCTGTCCCCATGCTGGAGGACAGGGGCGAGCTCAGCACACAGATCCAGGAATGTGGCCTTGTGCTTCCTAAAGTCCTGCAGCCACTGCTCATCATCCCAAACCTGCATTACAAAATGATCCCACCAGTTAATATTTCCTTCTCAGGCTCAGAAATGTTGCTCCCCCATCTGCAGCTGCTCTGTGAATAACCTTGAATTGTTTTTTGCTATGTTGATTAGCAAACTATCATCACAGAAATTGTCATGTCCCCCGTTGTTGTGGTACTTCCTGCGGTAGTTCCTGCGGCTCTGCAAATACTGGAGGATCATTTGTCCTCTGCTTGCAACGTTCTTGACAATAGTGCAGAACTGTGTGGGCTCATGATTTTGTCAGAAATGGCTGACAGCGCATATGTTTATGAGATTTTTAAACGAGGTGCAAAAATTATGGGATAGGGATGGCAGTGGATATAGTATTCTTAGATTTTCAGAAAGCCTTTGACAAGTTCCCTCACCAAAGGCTCTTACACAAAGTAAGCTGCCAAGGAATAAGAGGGAAGGTGCTCTCATGGATTGGTAACTGGTTAAAAGATAGGAAACAAAGGGTAGGTGGTCAGTTTTCAGAATGGAGGGAGGTAAATAGTGGTGTCCCCCGGGGGTCTGTACTGGGCCCAGTCCTATTCAACATATTCATAAATGATCTGGAAAAAAGGTTAAACAGTGAGGTGGCAAAATTTGCAGATGATACAAAATTACTAAAGATAGTTAAGACACAGGCAGACTGCGGAGAGCTCTCAAAATTGGGTGACTGGGCAACAAAATGGCAGATGAAATTTACTGTTGATAAATGCAAAGTAATGCACATTGGAAAGCATAATCCCAACTATACATATAAAATGATGGGGTCTAAATGAGCTGTTATCACTCATGAAAGATCTTGGTGTCGTTGTGGATAGTTCTCTGAAAACATCCACTCAATGTGCAGCGGCAGTCAAAAAAGCGAACAGAATGCTGGGAATAATTAAGAAAGGGATAGATAACAGGACAGAAAATATCATGTTGCCTCTATATAAAACCATGGTACACCTACATCTTGAATACTATGTGCAGATGTGGTTGCCCCATCTCAAAAAAGATATGTTGGAATTGGAAAAGGTTCAGAAAAAGGCAACAAAAATTATTAGGAGTATGGAACAGCTTCGGTATGAGGAGAGATTAATAAGACTGGGACTTTTCAGCTTGGAAAAGAGACTGCTAAGGGGAGATATGATTGAGGTCTATAAAATCATGACTGGTATAGAGAAAGTAGATAAGGAAGTGTTTTTTACTACTCATAACACAAGAACTAGGGGTCACCAAGTGAAATTAATACGCAGCAGGTTTAAAACAAATAAAATGAAGTATTTCTTCACACAATGCACAGTCAACTTGTGGAACTCCTTGCCAGAGGATGTTGTGAAGGCCAAGACCATAACAGGGTTCAAAAAAGAACTAGATAAGTTCATGGAGGATTGGTTGATCAATGGTTATTAGCCAGGTGTCCCTAGCCTCTGTTTGCCAGAAGCTGGGAATGAGCAACAGGGGATGGATCACTTGATGATAACCTGTTCTGTTCATTCCCTCTGGGGCACCTGGCACTGGCCATTGTCAGAAAACAGGGTACTGGCTAGATGGACGTTTGGTTTGACCCAGTAGGGCCATTCTTATGTTCCCTCCATAGCACATTCCTGCACCTCACTGACTCTGATCTCTTATACTCTGTGTAGCATGTGATATTTTTGTAGCAAAATTCATACAATAAACTGTCTCTCTTTTTCTTGTAGCTAGGAAGACAGATTCCTTACACAAAGGCCACATCCTTCTCCTTCCTGGGAAAACATGGTGGACAAGGTGCTCCGGAAGGTGTTCATTTTCCTTGTCCTAATTTTCATTCTTGGAAGTCTTCTTTCAGGAGTATTCTACAGGTGGCAAACAAAAATGATGGGTGAGTAAATAATATATAAATAGAATCCTCCTGCCATTTGTTTCCCAGGTTCTCCTTCTAACAAGCCTTTTAATAATCACGGTAGCTTGTGTTGCACGCCTGTAATAGTGTAGACAAGTGACAGTGAACTAGAGATTTGTGTTAATCCTGAGCTGCAATTTTAGTTCCTCAAGGGGTTAATTTGAGTTCTGTGATTTCCCGAAGGAAAAGAGAATTCCGCGAAATTACTTTACACTGATGGTGTATCTTCTCTTCCAGTTCCTAAGGAAGATTGGCTGATGAGTCAAGTCTATCGCAAAGACACACTGAACTCCACCTGCCTGATGAACAACCTCTCTCATTCACAAAGCAAACTGAAACATGATGTTGCAACACAGATCTTTGTGGAACATAACCACAAGTTCATCTACTGTGAGGTGCCCAAGGTGGGCTGCTCCAATTGGAAGAAAATCATCCTTCTCCTCACATTGAACCTGAGCAGAAAGGCTAATGAAGTGCAACAGGACCTCATTCACCACACCCCACTGATAAAGAGGCTGAGTTCTTACCCTTCTGACTACCAGGAGAAATTACTGACCAGTTACACCAAAGTGATGTTCACCAGAGATCCCCTGGAACGGTTGGTTTCAGCTTACAGAGACAAGCTTCTGCACTCTGAGCCATACTATAGTATCACTGTGGCAAATGAGATCAAGGCCATGTGCAGGAAAAACAAAAATTCAACTGAAAAGGTGACTTTCCAGGAGTTTGTTAACTTCATTCTGACAAAAAACCAAGAACATTTGGATGTTCACTGGAAACCAATGTTTCTACTCTGTGATCCTTGCAACATTCACTATGACATCATGGGGAAATTTGATACCTTGGAGCAAGACTCTGAACATGTTCTCAGGAACATTGGAGCTCCAGAGGATCTGCACTACCCTAACTTTAAGACACATAGCTCAGAGAAACGTACTAGTGATGATATCACTTTAGAATATCTCAGAAAGCTGAGCTCAGAGCAAATTGAAAAGATCAAGAAGCTGTACCAGATGGATTTTGCCTTGTTCAACTATCCTTATGATTTGAAAATGAACCTTTATGAGACTGATACAGTATGAACAGGAGGGACATTTTTATTCATACAATATCACATGAAGTTGTCTACAAAGATGATTACAGCAATCAAGCACTGTTATTGTTTTGTAGCTCATGGAACTATTTGTTGTATGCACTCCTCTATTGAATCAATGTAAGAAATTTTCCACCTGTATGATATTTTCCTTCTGCTGATCCGATTGCCTTGAATGTATCTGAAATGCACAGAGTCCATTGGCATGATGGAGGTAAAGGATGGGGAATATGGCCTTTCCGTACACAGATGTTTCAGAGTGTCCACTTTGAGTCTAGATTATTTTGATTTTCAATTAATAAAAAAAATACAAAGCAGTGTGTGTGTCCCTAACCACATAGGAACCTCCAATGGGAATTCTCTAGCAGGCAGGCAGACTTACAAGTAAAGGTGCAGTGCACCAAACAGAATCATTACTACATTCACTTCTGGAAATTATCAGAGTACAGCAGCACTCTCACCATACCCCCATCAAGTCCCCTACCTTCAAGGGTGTTGGAAGGAGTTGGTGTAGATGCAGCAAAGCTGGCATTATGCCAGCTTGGGTTCCCCCCATCCTGGTCATGGGAATGCTCAGCTAAAAAGTGTGTAGCCGCTTTGAAGACTCTTCACACTGCCACAGCTGGAGTCAGAATCTGGCCCATGGTCTGATCCAGAATGAAAACTCCAATCAACTCCTCTCTCCTAGAGAAGTGACCAGGAAGGCCATTCTAGATTATACAAGTATGAGGCAATATGAAAGGGTGCTATAGACCCATCTCAGGCATGGAAAAGGGTGCAACATTGACCATATTTCCCAGAAACACAGACACAATGAATATATGAATTTATTTTCCACTGCATGTATCCAATGAAGGGGGTTTTAGCCCACAAAAGCTCATGCCCAAATAAATTTGTTAGTCTCGAAGGTGCCACAAGTACTCCTCATTCTTTTTGCAGACACAATGAATGACATTATAATCTGCCGATGGGGGCATCTGCAGGGAACACAGGGACGCATCTACTTTTTAATCTGTTCTTACACTTCTGCCCAGCAGGTGGACCTGCTGTATAACTACACCAATGTGATGTTTGCCTCAGATCCCCTGGAACAGTTGGTTTCAGCCCACAAAGACAAGTTTCTGCATTCTGAGCCATTCTGTAGTGTCATTCTGGCAAATAAAAGAGGGGCCACTGTAAGGTCCGGACTCACCCCTGCGGCACCTCCTGCTGGTCGTCCAGGGAATTAGCTCACCAGCCTCTGGAGCGCCCTCTGCAGGCCGGTGATCCGACTTGTCCTCTGGCACCCATGTCCCTCCCAGGACCCAGTGCCCCTATTACTGGGATGCTGCCCCCTGGCAGTACCCCACAGATCTGGGTCTCCCCTCCCTGGGGAACCCACACCTTGCCTCAGCACTAGGCCACTGCCAGTCACCAACTAGCCCCCGCTCCCTGGGGCAGACTGCAGTATAGGCCACTCATCACTGGCAAGGGGGGTTTGGACCTGCTGCCTTGGCCTAGCCCTGGGCTGCCCTCTGCAACCCCCAGTACCCCTTGGCCTCCTACTAGGCCGCAGCCTGGGGCTATCCAGGCTGGAGCTCCCCAGCTCCTCAGCCTGTCCCCAGCCCTGCTCCACTCAGGTACACTATCCCTAGCTTGCTGCAGCCAGGCCCTTCTCTTTCTGCACTCAGAGAGAGACTGCTGAGCTTCTGGCTGCTCTGGCCTTTATAGGGCCAGCTGAGTCTGTTTGGGGCGTGGCCCCAGCTGCCGACACTTCCCACAATCAGCTCAGCCTAAAAGCTGCTTTCTCCAGCCACAGCCCCCTCTGGACCGGAGTGGGGTTACCACCCCGCTACAGAGCCCCAGAAGGTCTGTGTTACACTAACTTTAAGAGGTATGACTCCGAGAAATGGACCAGTGCTATTATGACAATGGAGTATCTCAGAAAGTGCTATCTTCAAAGCATGGGTCATTGTATTCAACAATGGGAAATCCACAGACTTAGGCTACGTCTGCACTACAGACCTTACAGCAGCAGAGCTGTACCGCTGCAGCTGTGCTGTTGTAAGGTCTCCTGTGTAGCCGCTCTATGCCGACGGGAGCGAGCTCTCCCGTCAACATAATTAAAGCATCCCCAATGAGCAGCGGTAGCTATGTCAGTAGGAGACGCTCTCCTGCCAACATAGCACTGTCCACACCAGCGCTTTTGTCAGTGAAACTTATGTTGCACATAGGAGTGGTTTTTTTCACACCTTTGACCAACAAAAGTTTTACTAAAAAAAATGATAGTGCGGACATAGCCCAAGTCTGCATTTAGTCAACTTAGAAAGAGCCTTTCTGTGAGTGAAAATACTGGCCTAATTGCCTTTTGTGAATAATAATGAATTCAGGGATCTATCCTGTATGTCTGAGCTGTCTTGGACACTTACAGGGAGCATTCCAGGTGCAAAGACAGAGATCCCCAAAATAACTTTGGGGAACCCTAAAGACTTATGGAAAACTAGCAGATTGCTACATCTGTGCTATCTCTTTGGACTTACAAATCTTGGCTCACCTGTTAATATATTTTACCTGCTTTAACCTCAATAATTCTCATTTCTTCTTCTTAGCTAATAAACCTTTAGTTAGTTTACTAAAGAAATTGGCATTAGCGTTGTTTTTGGTGTGAGATCCAGAGTATCCATTGACCTGGGGTAAGTGACTGACTGCTTGGGGTTGGGGGTACGCTAATATGAAGTGATTTTTGGTTTTAATAACCTTTCATCTCAAAGTCCAGTTTGTCTGGGTGGTAAAGAGGGGCTGGAGAGCCTAAGGGGACTGTCTGTGGCTTCATGGTAAGATGAATATTGTAATCCAGGGGTGCACAGGTGTTACTGGCTTGGTGAAAGCTAATTATAGAATATACCACCAGTTTGGGGTGTCTGCCCTGTTTTCTGACCTGAGATTGGCACTCTCAGTTGTAAGCCATACCAGACAGCATGACAGTGATATTCATACAATAGGAAGGAAGACATCTTTATATAGGTGGTCCATTTCAACTGTGAAAAAATTAGATTCCCCAGTCCTGCACCATGCAACATGTGGTAGAGTGTTGTACCTACACCCAACCCCACTGAAGTGAATGGGGCTAAGTGCAGTCACTGCAGTCTGCCATATTACAGGATTGAGGCCTTAATCATATTTCTATATGTCCTGAACTAATAGCTATATTTCAATTTGAGACAAAATCTAATTCCATATTTTGTTGACTATGTTATCCCAAAATCCATGTCCCCTTTTTGTGACACTGGAGTCCTGTGTGTTGTGCTAAACAGTACACTTCAAAGGTTTTTTATTAACCCAAGATAACATTTATGGGTTATATTGTTCACACAATGTTTTTGTTGCTCTGTGCACTCAGGCCGCATTGGTGACCATAATCTCGCCCTCTGGTGTTTGACATACAGTAATTTTTAATGATTTCCTATACGGTCCTTTAAAACAGCCTAAAGAGCTGAAAAATATTAATTTTCTGGAGAAAGAGATAGGGCTATGCTGGGCTCTTCCTGCGAGAGGAATAGAAAGGCCAGGAAACATTGCAAAACTGATCCAATGGATTTCCTACAAATCTTTCCATCGAAGAGCAGAGGCTAGGGGTACAGTCTCACAACCTCATGGATGCTGAGGCTCCACAGAGAATGGAAAGAACCATCCCCTTCATGCTGATCTCCTGGTCTTCCTTCCCTCTCTGGCAGCATAGCTCCTACAGGCAACCCCTCTGAGGTGGCCGTGTATGACTCTTATATGAGCCATGCTGATCTCTGGAGTAGGCAATGTTTGGAAAGCACCATACAGATTTATGGTACTGCACAAATGTTTTATAATTATGGAGGCACGTTAGTGGCACCATAGTCAAAGTTGTGTCAAGTATTTGCCTTGGAGGGAACCTTAAACTCACGCAGCCTATTTTGCTGTCTGTAAAAATATTTAAAATGGGAAGCAGTATTTGAAGTGCCTTGAATTTCTGAGAGTACCGGGAGCACTAAGTTCCTGGAACTTACAAACCTTCCAAAATCCCATGTTCAGAAACTGAGGCCAGGGTGGTCTCATCTTTTTTCATAACGCTACAACAAAATGACCACAGCCTCTAGAAAACCCAAACTGCCCCCTCTCTGCATGCAGGTGACACATTGATATATTTAATGTTTTTAAAGCTGTTCCTTAGTTCATCAAAGTTGAAGGAGCTATGTCAAGAGTTAGCCAGTGCAGCTCACCAGCTCCACTAGATCCTTCCAGTTCCCTCAAGTTTGTCTAAAGAATGAAGCTCTCCACCCTTCTCCTCAAACAACTTTTCTGGCTGGTGAACCTGGGTGGTTCCCACTTCCCAGGCTGCAAAGTGACAGTCTGATGAGCCAGAAAAGGCTCATGAGTATTGATATGAAGCATGACCTGAGAGACACAGCATGGAAATATAGGAGAGGGCCATTAGTGAGCGGCAGTAATGGGGAGATATACCTGCCCCCCCTCAGATCTTCATATTGCTACTATTCCCCATGTCCACCATTCTGTCTTGTGTGTTGTCTCACCCACCCTTCCAATAACCTCATTCCCCACATATTCTCCATGCAGATCAGCGTGGTGGGGGCCATCTTGCTCCCATATCCATTGTCTTCCATAAGTTCCTCTCTCCAAAATGTCCCCCAGATATTTCCTTTAGTTTGTAGAAGCAGCTTCTTATTCCTGCCAGCTGTGCTGGGCTGACAAGCCTCTTTAGTCTCATCAGACTTTTTCTCCCTGCCAGCAAACCCTAGCAGGTTTACAGGAAGGACCCTATTACACAGATGTTTTGATATATGATGGCTCTTAGATGTGTCACTGGTCTAAGGCCTCTGGTCTTGGGCTGCAATGTGGAGCTAACAAGCAAGGTTATCTGTAATAGTTGACAAAAACTGGCTGCCGGTAAGATTCTACCTCTGAAAGGTGAGCCGGGGCAGGAGCTGTGTTCAGATACAATAACTTTTAGAAAATGCG